TTTTTTTTGGTTTTTGCACCAATTATGGAAGCAACACCAGAAGAAGCAGTAACCCGTTTAGTAATTTCTGCCAAAAAGAGAAAGTTTTAGTTCTTTAAAATTTCAGGATTAACTAAATCAAATTTCTAATTTTTTTCTATTTTGCGCTTTTTATACTGTTTTTAAAGCATAAAGATTTTTCGTGTTCGCCACTGGAAATTTTTTCAAATATTCCTTTCTTTCTATTTTTAAAACGCACGTTTTGCACGTTCTACCAACAAAAACATGACACTACCACGAGGTCAATCTGCACGTGGTACAATTAGTTTGTTTATTATTAATATTTAATTAGTTGTGCAATTAACTCGCACACATTTGAGAATTAGATCATTTTCCCTAATTACGGAATCAGGATTTATTAAAGGACGTCTCAATCGGATCCATTTCTTGTCTCCTTAGCAAACGCAATATTCGGATTACGTAAATTAGTTAAATCGCTTAATTACAGATTTCTATTGAATCCATTGCATGTCTTCGAGACTCGCTTTTCAAATAGCCCAACTGCACTCACTAACAACACCCTTTGCAAGTGACATATTATTAAAATCCCGAGTCGGTTGTAAATAATCGGAAAAATTCCGGTTTTAAAATTGATGTAAAGTGGAAAGCTAACAAGCCGTGTAATAATTGCGTGTGGTTTTCACCCCGAAAAGTCGTGAAAGTAAAAATGGTTTTGTTGTTATTTATTCACGCTGCATAATGCATTAATCACGGGTCAGTCAGTTCATTGTCTTTCAAGCCCTCGTGCTATAATTACGCCATTTCCGTGTTCATCTGTCCCACCCTCGCAACTGTCGTCTCGATTTCCACCCACAATTCGAAGCAAACAACGCGAGACTCCTCTCCATTATCACCACGAACATTACCATTTCCCTCATGTCAGAGGTGCTGACACTCTTCCGGCTTATTAGAGCCGACATGAGCTCCGATTTTCGTCACACACACGTCGATATTTTTTAGTGAAAGCGGAAAAATTGCGAAAAGAACGCGAAGAAGGCAAACCCGAGAAGAAGAAACGAAGAAATGTGCGACGCAAACCGATCGGACCCACGAATTCGGCCGGCGAGGCCATCGAGAAGATTCTCCAAGAGAAGAAAATCTCCTCCAAGATTAATTACGACGTCTTGAAGAGTCTGAATGCCTCGCTGAAGAGCGGCGAGGACGAAGCGGCCGCGAAAAAGTGAGTTTTCAAACAAATCACTCCAAAAAAAAAAAACAAATCAAAAACACAAAATGTTTTTAATTTTGCATTCGGGGAAAGCGAGGCACGTTTCACTCGCATTATTTTTAACGGATTATCTCGGAAAGCGATATTTTCTTTTTCGGAGTTAACGATTTTGTTTTATTTAGTTGGTAACTATCCCGGGATCTGCCGGCGACATTTGGTTAATTTGCAAGATGCAGTGCTGCCACTCGCTACTTATTTATAGACGAGGAAAGTGGAATGAAATTTGTATGAGTACTAAAGTCGAAAAAAAAATTACGAGCGAGAGAATGAAATTTGTTCCGACATGAAAGCAATTGGAAAGTTTCAGTAAATTTGAAAATCGAATCAGTTGTTGTTTTTCGAGTGAGTTGCTTGTGGGCGTTAACAATTACAAATACCATGATTGTGATATTTAATGTCGTAATTATCGAATCAGTTTCACGTTTTGTGAATACATTTGCGGGTTTGATGGATGACTTGGAGTCTCACAAGCCCCAAAAGTGATTCATCTGACGGTTAATTTGCCAGAAAATTGCTCGTCGAGACGATTGACACGCGTTTTGCAATTTCTATCGGATCAATCTTATTAAAATTTAAAATCGGATCAAATCCTAGATCTTTATTATCGCTAAAAATAAGTGGTCGTGAAAATTACTCGACTTTTATTAATTTCCCGAAATAACTTTAAATTGATTTCTTGTCGTAAAAATATCAGCGGGGAATTTTTTCATTACGTTGTTGTCGGTTTTTTCCCAAATAAAACTAGGCCCAAAATTTGTTTTTAATTATTATTGGAAAGTTACCAACTAGGGAAATAATTCGATTTTTTATCAACGGTATTTCAGTTCAATGACATGAATTTTTCTGAATAATTGTTTCATTTTCAATCAAAAGTAAACGTGACCCTCGTAAAGGCCACCATGTGATTGTTATAATCAATGAAACACCCAATTATGTGTCCGTAATTGCGAAGAAATCCCTTTAATCAACTCGACGAGGTTATATCGAATATGAAGAAATAATAAACTGCTTTTGGATCAATTCATTCGTGCCTTCCGGCAGCTTAATTAAAATCGGGATTATTCTAGGCCGCGACTTGAACCTCCCGAAATTCCCGCAAATATCAAAATTTTGGGACGGAATAAAAAAGATAAAAAAGTCAATGGTGGGTTACCGCTGGTTGAGGAGAAAACACCGGAGAAAAAAGACGATCCAGGTAATGAGTAACGACTTTCATACAAGTTTATGATTTTTACGTTTCTAGAAGAAGAAGAGTTGGAGGAAGATTACGAAGAAGAGGACAACACGGTTGAAGAAACGGTCGAAGAGAACGGTTTATTGGAGATGTTGAGGCAGCACCGGGAGGACGGGGAGGAAGAACAGGAGTATTTCGGCTACGAGGAGGAGGAATACTAGTTGACTTGTTGTAATTTATTTATACACTTTTTTATTTAATATAATAAAAACACGCTTTTTGAAAGAATTTCTATTATTGTGGGGGAAACGGCTATGCCGCGATCCCCTCAGAATTTCGACAAAACTTGAATAAGACTTCGGAATAAATCAGGTAAGTACGCTCTTGAGTTAAAACAATCGGAATCGGGCGCAGCAAAATTAGAAAAATCATTTCGGTCCAACTTATTATTCAAATTGATTGAAATTAATCGCGTTTCGAGTGAAATTCCTGATGCATAATTTATAACAATTATTTCTTGGCCTTATTTCGATGATTTATTAAGGGAGAGAAGTTCATTGTTTCAAACTGGAAGCCGGAAACAAGACTCACGGCCGATAAATGCACAATATGTTTTCGCAAATGTGGTAAAAATCGCGTCAAGGTTGATTTTTCGAGGCGTGGTTGGCGACATTGCACTTATTATTTGTAATGCAACGGATCTATAGATCCGTTTCCTCATCTGTATGCACGAGAAGGAATTTTTCCACGTTTTTGCAACCACAATTAAATAAAAAAATTAAAAAATAAAAATTCGAAAAAATCTGATTAAAGCTTCTTTCAAATTGTTATGAATAGCAACTGAAATTTGTAGGTGAGCGTTTGGTTGCCTACAAGACTAAATTTCTCGCTTGGCACTGGCCGTGAACGCGAGCCCACAATTAGCCAAAAATATTTTTGTTGCTTTGAATTTTTTTAATTAAATGAGTGAATTCGTTATTCCCCCGTACAACTTCTCCTGGTTTGTGGAGGGGGAGTTGGCCTGCATGGCGTGGCCCCAAACCGTTTACAATTTGGAGTTTTTGCGCCGCGAGGGCATTGCCCATCTGGTCACCCTATCGCCCGAGAAACTCCCCCCAATCGGGGACTTCCCCCAAATGGGGTGGACGAGGATCGACGTGGAGGAGTTCGAAGCGCCGTCACTCAACGACATCATCAAGTTTATCGAAATATGCGAAAAATGCAAAAATAATGACCAGGTAAGTTAAAAATAAAAAGTTAAGGATTATATGTTTATTCAAGACGCATCAGTGGAATATAAATAGTTGTGGTTTTATTTCACGAGGATCGTAAATTTTTGGATGCAGACTCCCGAGAGGCGGCACCCAAGCAGTGTTTCCAACTGAATAAACAGTGTTGCCAGATCAAAAACATAAAATTCACCAAATCCGAGTTGAAAAATTTGCCAAATTTTTACCAGATTACGATTTGTATGGCTATATCTCGCGAAAAAACGCTTAAAAATCCGCTTAAACTCTTGAAAAAAATTAAAAATATGCAATTCGGATCAATTCTGTGATTTTTCGGCTTGTTTTCAACAAAATTTAGCGAAATAATTGCGTTTTTAGCTGAAAAATGTGCTAAAATACTCGAGAAATGCAAAAATAATGTAATTCTAGACTTAATTTCTAGTTTTTTTTAGTTTGTTTTAGCGAAATCTAGTGAAAAATCTGAGATTCAAAATAACATCAATATCAATTGTTTTGATTTTTAAGCGTGTTTGGACAAGATTTTGCAAAATAAATGAGCCTCAGATTCAAAAACAAAATTAGTCGAGCGAAACGAGCTAATAATAATAATATCACTTTCGATTAATTTTGTAATTTTTTTGCCTGCTTCAACGAAAATTTTAGAATTTTCTTTCTTTTTACCTCAAAAACGTGCTTAAACACTTGAAAAGGGCAAAAATAACGCCGTTTTTTGTTGAATTTTTGGATTGTTTTTAACGAAATTTTGCGAAATAATTGTGTTTCTAACAGAAAAAGTATTCGAAGACCAAGAATTAATTGTTATTTTCGATCCTGTTTAATAAAATCTTGTAAAAAAACAAACGCAAAGATTTTTAACCATTTTGGTGGTTTTTCGACTTTTTTGAAAAAATGTGACGAAATAATCAAGTTTCTGGATGAAAACGTGAAAAATGCTCGAAAAACAGTTTTTTCATTTCCAAAAAATTACCAGATATTAGAATTTTTACAAAAGTTTTCACAAAATCACCAGACTATTACGAAAATGACCTGGTGAAATTTCACCACACCTGGCAACACTGTGAATAAACCAAGACTGCTCACGTGGTCTTATTTAAAAGCACAATTTTGTGGTTTTAGTTTAGCTTAAGCTAATTATGAGGAAGACGAGCAAAGTGACCCGTAGGGACCTGCTTTGGGTCCTATATTCTTTCCGTTTTACTCAATTTTTAACATTTGACTTTGAATTAGACTGAAGAAAAACTAACTTTTATTGCTTGTGCTTGATATTTGTAACGTTATTTACTCTAATTGTCTTCGACGTTTTAATTAATTCTGCCAATAATCACGTAACATGGCTGTGGCTTTGATATTTGAGCCGGTTGTAATTACCAATTATAGGAAACATAGCTATCAGGTGTCAATATTGGGGTGACTTCAAAGAACTGTGGTCCACGTATGGAAAAATTGAAGCGCTAATTAAGTCAAGGTGGCCCCTGTGGCCCCCTTTCCCGGGCGCACCCTAATTCAGTTCTCTAGTTTGCAACACAATTCGCAAATGTTATTGACGAACTATTTCAGAATCAAAAGACTGCATCGCCTTTACATTTTCTTCAATTAATTAATAACATCCATTGAAACTTTTCATTTTTATTTCGATTGTAACGAATCAAAAGAAGCTAAAGTTTCCAATTAATTTGTTACCAGCAATCAAATTTTAATAATGTTAACAAGCTCCATCTGCGTCTGAGATTATTCAAGAGAAAATCCGTCGTTCCGACACAAAAAGAATTTCGCATTATGAAGCTGGAATTTGTGAAAGGATTTTTTCAGTATTTGAGACTTGAAATAAGTCAAATTTTCGATCGAAATAAATTGAATTTTCTCGACTGTCATCACTGATATTTCTAAGACTTGCTTACATGCTTACAAAAAAAAAAAACAACAAAACTACGTCAAAGATAAGCCCAAAAACTAATTTATGAGGTCGGAAATACTCGTAACATTATTTTTCCAAGCCAGAAACGCAATTATTTTGCACAGTTTTGCCATTTTTGCCTTTTTCGATGGTTTTTTTAGTCCGAAAAGCCTCAATTAGATCCAAAATTACATAATTTCTAGCTTTTTTGACTGTTTTAGCACGTTTTTCATCCAGAAAACTACCCAATTAAGTCGAAAATTATTTTTGTTTTTTGGTATCTTTTTAAGCCAAAATCGCAATTATTTTGCAAAATGAATCGACGAACTACCTAATTGTGTCAAAAATTCAACAATCACTTTATGTTTTCCACGTTCAAGGTTTTATCATGTATTTCAGCCAAGAAACGCCCGTATTTTGCAAACTTTTGTGACAAAAACCTCCAAAACCACCCAATTAGGTCGGTTTTCCAAAACTACTTAAAAAATTATCTTAGAAATTACCCAATTAGATCCAAAATTACACAATTTTTGCTTTTTCGAATGTTTTGACACGTTTTTTTTTTTTCAAAATTTACACCAAAGATAAGTTTCGTTCAGAAACCACATAATTAGGTCAAAAATTATATAATTTTTGTCTTTTTCGGGAGCTTTAACACGTTTTTCAGAACAAGAACCCCTTATCTAGAACAAAACTTTCATTGTTTTTACCTTTTTTGAGTGTTTTATTAGGTTTTTCAGACAGAAACGCATTTATTTTTCAAAAATAAGTTCAAGAACTACCTAATTAAGTCTCAAATTACCTTCTTCATTTTTTTAGCACATTTTTCAGCCTCAAAACGGAATTATTTAGCACAATTTAGTTACAAAAAGCTCCAAAATCACGCAATTAGATAAAAAAAAATACAGTATTTTTGCTTTTTCGAGTGTTTTACCACGTTTTTTTTTGCAAAATTTATATCAAAGATAAGTTTAGCCCAGAAACCATACAATTAGGACAAAAATTGTTTGATTTTTGCCTCTTTCGAGAATTTTAGCCCGTTTTTCAGAACAAAAGCCCCTCAATTAAATCAAAAATTTCATTATTTCTGCCTTTTTTTTTCAATGTGCTATTGTGTTTTTAAGCCAGAAACGCAATTATTTTGTAAGAAAAAGATCCAAAATCACCCAGTTAAGTCGGTTTTACAAAATTACATAATAAATAATTTCAGAAACCACCCAATTAGATAAAAAAATACTGTATTTTTGCTTCTTTGAGTGATTTACCACGTTTGTTTTTGCAAAATTTATGAAAAAAAACACGATTATACTCGTCACACTTTTATTTCAAACACAACGCGTTTCAACCACAAAGTGGTCATCTTCAGGTGAGAATAAAAACTCAGTTTCCATACCAAGAGGATCCAATAAGAAGTTGCAAAATTTATGTCAAAAATAAGTTTGATCTAGAAACTACACAATTAGGTCAACAATTATATAATTTTTAATTTTTTTCAAGAGCTGTAACACGTTTTTTAAAACAAAAACTCCTCATTTTGAGCGAAAATTTCATTGTTGTTTCCTTTTATTGAGTGTTGTTCAGACAGAAACGCAATTATTTTTTAAAATTATGTCAAAAATAAGTCCAAGAACTACTCAATTAAGTCAAAAATTACTTTATATTACCTATTTTTACGTTTTTCGCATATTTTGTAGCCCAGAAACGCAATTATTTATCAAAATTTTGTAACAAAAAACTCCAAAAGCACCCTTTGCCTTTTTCGAGAGTTTTAGCAAGTTTTTCAAAACAAAAGCCCCTCAATTAAATCGAAAATTTCATTATTTTTGCTTTTTTTGAGTGTGTTATAATGTTTTTTAGCCAAAAACTAAATTATTTTGTAATATTTTGTAACAAAACCACCCAAATAGGTCGGTTTTGCAAAATGGCATAACAAATAATTTCAGAAACTACCCAATTAGATCAAAAATTACAGTATTATTGCTTTTTCGAGTGTGTTAGCCACAAAAACCATTTTTTCAGCGGTTTAGTACGATTTTCAGCAAGAAAGGCAATTGTTTATTGAAATTATGCTAAAAAATAAGCCGAAATTCATTTCATGAGGCCAAATCGTACATTATTTTTGCCTTTTTTCAGGGGTTAGCACGTTTTTAATCAAAAACTCAAACATTTTGCAAAGTTGCATAATTACTACTACTACTTTTTCAGTTTTTTTCCAAAAATTTTCAAAATAAATTTGAAACTTTTTATTTTTATTTCGATTTGGAGTCAAAACGAGTTAAAAATTTCCAGTTTATTTTGTTAAAGACTTGAAACAAGTAAAATTTTCGATCGAAATAAATCGAATTTCCTCAACTGCCGTCACCGATATTTCTAAGACTTGCTACATGCTTACGAATCACATTGCATTCAAAGGAATATCGATTCAGCAAGGGAATAAGTTCAGTCCCAAGGCTGTTTAAAATGCGACTTCTTTAAAAAATATTAACAATAAAAGCAGCAACATGCAGGAAAATTAATTGACTGAAATCCGGGTTGAATCTTCCCTGAGTTTAAGTACCCTCACGTAAATTAATTTACTCGCCCTTCTAAACTTGCCCTTCGATCGATGATAATTTTTGTTGTTTGTGCAGGCCGTCGGCGTGCATTGTCGCATGGGCAGAGGCCGAACCGGCGTAATGGCAGCTTGTTATCTGGTGCGTTTTCAGGATTTTGCACCTGAAAAAGCCATTACAAGCGTAAGACTTCAGCGAGCCGGATCAGTGGAGACTGGTGAACAAGAACGGGCCGTCATGCGATATCGCGATTACTTGAGAGGCACTAAAATGCGACACGAGAGAGATGACGATGAAAAATGTGATTTGGATGCGAGTCGGAGATGAAATTTATACTTTGAGAAATTTGTTTGTTTGTGTGATGGTTTTTAGGGGAAATAAAGTGTTTGCCGCCTTTTAGGTCTATTTACTCAATTCCTTACGTTTTTCAGGGGGAGAAATCTCGCCACACACAAAAAACACTTTAATTTTCAACAAATGCAACTGTGGAATTAGGTTAAAAAGTTGAGGCGAAACAATGGTCTTAATTTGAAATCCATAAATTATTGCTGGATTATTTTTAATTACTTTGGCAATAAAAACTTTCAAAGTTTTGTTAATTATGTCCATTACACGATGCGAAATTACAAAGTATAATCGAAAACTCGAGAATTTTACTCTGCTATTAATGCAAAAACTTGAAATGCATAAGCAATTTACTCAGAGTTAGGGAGATTCTAATTATTTGTGAAATAATAAAAAACATCCAAAAAACTTAAAAAATCCAATTTTGTACAATCTAAAATTAAAATCATCTCTTATCAAATCAATTTAAAAAATAGTATATTTGCATAAGCGGTTTTAATTTTTTTATTACAAATTGCAAACTAGACCCAGAACCCCTCAAAAATTACATTATTTTAGCGTTTTAAAATGTTTTTAAGCCAGAAACGCAAATATTTTGTAAAATTACGTCAAAAATAAGCCTAAAACCCAATCTATTATTTTTCCATTTTTCTATCCAGAAAAGCACAATTTAGTGAAACGTCAGGCTCAAAATTAATGTCATAGATAAATTTTGGCCAGAAAACACGACTAGATCAAAAATTACATAATTTTTACTTTTTTCGCGAGTTTTAGCACGTTTTTCAGTCCGAAAAACCCCCAATTAGATCGAAAATTACATTATTTATGCTTTTTTGCGTGTTTGATCATCTTTTTCAGACAGAAACGCAATTATTTTGCAATATTACCTCAAAAATAAGTCCTAGATAATTAAGTCAAAAATTACTTTATTTTTCCCATTTTCAAGTTTTTAGTATGTTTTTTAGTCTAGAAAGGCAATTATTTTGCAAAATTTTGTAACAAAAGGCTCCAAAACCACTTAATTGGTTGGGTTTTGCAAAATTACATAGAAAATAATTTCAGAAAACACCCAATTAAATAAAAAATTACAGTATTTTTGCCTTTTTTGAGAGTTTCAGCACATTTTTCAGACCAAAAATCCTTTTTTTTCAGCGATTTTTCACGACTTTCAGCAAGAAATGCAATTATTTAGTGAAATTATTTATAAAACATAAGCAAAAAGAACATTTAATGAGGCCAAAACTTACATGGTTTTTGTCTTTTTTTCAGAGGTTTATCACGTTTTTAGCCAGAAACTCAAATATTTTGCAGTTCTGAAAAATAAGGTTCAAAACCACCCAAACAGATTTTGCAAAATTTACGTCAAAGATAAATTTAGATTAGATCGAAAATTAGATTATTTTTGCTTTTTTGCGTGTTTGATGAATGTTTTTCAGACAGAAACGCAATTATTTTGCAAAATTACGTCAAAAGTAAGTCCAAGAACGATCTAATTAATTCAAAAATTACTTTATTTTTCTTATTTCCAAGTTTTTAGTATGTTTTTCAGTCCAGAAAGGCAATTATTTTGCAAAATTTCGTAAAAAAAGGCTTCAAAACCACCTAATTAGTTGGGTTTTGCAAAATTGCGTAAAAAATAATCTCAGAAACTACCCAATTAAGTCAAAAATTACAGTATTTATGCCTTTTTCGATAGAATTTTAGCACCTTTTTCAGTCCAAAAATCGTTTTATTTTCAACGTTTTTGCACGATTTTCATCAAGAAATGCAATTATTTAATGAGGCCTAAATTTACATACTTTGTGTCTTTTTTTCAGAAGTTTGTCACATTTTGTGCTAGAAACTCAAATATTTTGCAGTTTTCTGAAAAATAAGGTTCAAAACCACCCAATCAGATTTTTCAAAATTTAGGTCAAAGATAAATTACCACAAAAACACACGATTGGGACGAAAATTAAATATGTTATAGCACGTTTTTCAGCCAGAAAACCCCCAATTTGGTCGAAAATTAGATTTTTTTTTTGGTGTTTTATTATTTTTTTAAGCCTGAAACGTAATTATTTTGCAAAATTTGGCAACAAAAATCTCTTGTAAAATTACATAAAAATAATCCCAGAAACCACTCAATTACGTAAAAAATTGCATTTTCTAGTGGTTTAACACTTTTTTTTTGTAAAATTTACATCAAAGATAAATTTAGCCGAAAAACCCAGAAACTACACGATTAGGTCAAAAATTATATCATTTTTGTCTTTTTCGAGAATTTTAGCACGTTTTCAGCCCAAAAACTTCACAATTAATATGAAAATTAGGTACATTGCTTTTGCCTTTTTAGTGTTTAAGCACAATTTTCAACCGAAAAGGCAATTATTTGGTGAAATTATGTCTAAAATAAGCCGGAAAACTCTATGAGACAAAAACGTGCCTCTTTTCAGCGTTTTAGCCCGTTTTTTAGAAACTCAAAGCACGAAATTACTTGAATTACTTTTTCGGTTTTTTCCCAAAATTTTCAAAATGAATTTTTTTTTACTGTGAATTTCAAAAATTCACTTCCAGATTTATTAACAAACCCTAAAAAACCACATTGAAAGATTTGCTAGCAATTTTTAAAGAAAAATCAATTGTAGGACTCCTGAATTTCAAATTTGCTGAAACTTCCTCCTTTTGCTTTTAAATTTTTTTCTGAACTACCGGATTTTTCCGGTGCTATTCCGGCCGACAATTTCGTCCAACTTGACACTAATTTATTACTAATTTTTTTTATTAATCTATCAAGGGATCTCATAAACTTCAAAAGCCCCGGGGCGGATGTCGTTCACTCAGCCCCTGTTATTAACTTTAATTACTCCAGCCTTCCCCTAACTAATTACAAGTGAAAAAAATTCGATACCATATTTAACAGTTAAATAAAAATCTTGCGMTTACCCAAAAAAGGAGTGAAATTTCACTTTGCGTGCAAAACGGGAACGAAACTTTCACGAGCCGAGACGTGAACCCACGCAACTTCATATCCTTTGTGTTRRGCATTTGACTTGGGAGTAGTTCATAAAGTTGCATGCAAGGAGTCGTAAATGTCGACAAGAGCAACTGTTAACGAATTGGGGGAGGTTTATGGTAAAAATATTCGCAACATAATCCAGTGTGATAGCTTATATGTCCGAGGGATAATACGGAAACTGTAACTATTATAACTTTTCCAATATCCCTCAACATTCTCTAGTAATCCTACTTTGCATTCCTGCAACTCCCCCAACATATCTGTGCTTGGAAAAAAAAATTAACGTTTCAGGAGCAAATTATTATAATTTCCTGCAAGAAAGAAAAGATAATCTATTTATTCAAATGACTTTCGTTTATAAAGTGTTATCGATTGGAAATTCGCCCACTAGCGATATTTTTAAACCCATAAAATATCACAAGCTTGAACCCAACAGATTATGGCGTGTGTGAACGTGAAACACAAAGAAGACAAATAGTAAAACAAGCTTATAAAATATTTATATACAGACTTAGAAATGGAGTTGTCTCAACTCGAACCGGAATAATCCACTGTTACGTTTTTTCGTTTTGTTCGGAAACACCTGTTGATTTCGGTGAAATTTTCTGATGACTGGAAAAATAGAACGGAATAATGGGTTTATTAAGTTTCGATTTCCTGTGATACCACTACTACAACACGAAATAATTGTTTCCCTTGGGTTGTCTAATCGAAACGCTTTGTCAAGCGTTTTGGCAAGAGGAGGCGTTTCATTGTGATCACAGCTTGTATTAAATCGATTTCGACTCAGATTAATTAATTCCCACCACTAGTGAAAAAAATAGAGGAAGAAAGTAAGTTTAAAAATAATCGAAAAATAGTTATTTTAATTTTATTATATAAGACGATAAACAATCTTTACTGTCGTGTATAATACAAGATTTTTTCTATAGCAGGACTTCAAGTTTAAGAGAAAAAATATAATTTCAAAGAAAATTAAAATTTTTGGCACAAAAATCGCAGTTGTGTTGCTCCGTTACTAAGGGTTACTAAGACATTTTATCTTCCTTTGCGGTTAAAGTGCTACTTTATCTATTCAAAAGAGTTGATAAAGAAATAGTTTAACATCTTCTATACAAAAAACACAATTTTCTATTTACCTACATTTTTTTCTTAATTTTAACATACAAAAAACATACTTTTGTTTCAAAAAATTAAAATTTTCACTTTTTCAGAGTAAATTTTCATAACGATTTTCTTCTTGCTTATGGACTATTATCATTAGAAACGGATATTT